ATCATATGATTTTTAATTTTAATTTTTATATATAAAACGAATTTATAGAAGATTATGAGTATTATTAGAATAAAAAATTAATTATCAAATAATATATTAAATTGTATAAAAAAATATTATATTATTATTTTTGTCATAGCAACCAACTTCCTACAATATTTTTTTAATTTTATGGAATCAAAAATTAATTTTAAAACCAATGAGCTAAGTTTTATGTTTACTTTTTTTAATTTAATGTAATTATTACACTAATATCAAATTATTTGAAGATTTTTTAATTACCAATAATTACCAAAAATAACTAAATTATTATGTAGAAAAGATAAATACTCTATAACTTGGAACCCCCCATGACAACAAGCAAATACAATAGGTTGTAAAATATGATTTGATATAATATTACTTCTTCTTCTTTTTTTTTTTTTGAAAAGCACATATTATATTATATATTGATTAATTTAACTCTAATAAGGTGATTTAACGGTTAAAAACTTAAAATTTTAATTTAAAATTAAGTTTGAGTCTTGAATTGGATAGAGAGAGATTTGAGAATAACAAAATATTATTTACACTTATATAAGTCATAACCAAATATACAAAAAAAAAAAACACATTTATTAATTTAATATTACATCATATTTTATATCATTCCATATTAGCTAATATCAACATAGTATTATACTTGTAGCAGTGCCCCAGAAAACAGACCAACAGCTAGAATCTGAATTGTTATTCTCCTTGCCTTGTCTCCCCATTCAGTTTGAGTGCCAACTCAAACAAAAACAATTACGATGTAAAGCAAGCACAACAGTGATGGGTTCTCATTAATGAAAAATAATCACTAGATGGGTGTTCCTTCCTAGTCACTTGCTTGGAAGCATACATTTCAAAGTAGTCTTAATATTCAGTATCTGTGAGGGTGTCAGTGGACTGTGAACACAACATCAAACATAACCCTGATTTCACCAGTCACTACAACGGTTAGATTCCAATGTATAAAATTTCTTCCCAAATTCACATATGTATTTCACAAGAGGATTCAATCAAATACTCACATTGTTTTCCCTCTACAATACAAATAGGTAAAATCCACGTAGCAAAACCTTAATGCACTGTTTGCAAGTTGAAATGTATACACAAAAATGTATAAAAACCTGGACCTACAACCTAGGATGGAAACGAAGGTTGTTTCTGAAATCAGCCCCTCCCAGCTGCTCCATGTCTGTGGTTTCTGAAATAGCTAAGGAGCGCCTGAGCCTGTAACCAAATAGGAAAGGCTTAGTTAATTTTCCAGAACAAGATGTGGAAGAAAGGGGGAGTGAGGGGAGAAAAGAGCTGATATTGGAAAAGTAGGGTGCATACCTTTTCTCTAGCCCTTGGCGTGCCAGACAGTGACAGAGCCACTAGTGGAGGAACAGCTCCTTCTTGGAGCACCATACCGCAAAACCTAGTACTGTTTGTACAAAGCTGCAAGAGAGCAGCGGCTGCATTTTCCCTTCCTCTTGCAGAACCCAATTCAACAACCTCAACTAGAACAGGAATCCCACCCTCCTGACCGATTGCATTCCTCCCTTCAAGAATTGTAGCAAGATTTCCCAAAACGGCAACTGCCTTATCAACCATTCCCGCAGCTGGGTCCATCAACTCCACTAGATATTTTACAGCGCCAGCTTGCACAATACGAGCCTTGTTCTCATGAAATATTGACAAATTGAACAAAGCTGTAGCTGCATCTTTCTTTCCTCTAGGAGTTCCATTCCCCAATAAGTCAACAAGAGGTTGGATGGCCCCAGACCTTCCAATTCTGACCTTGTTATCCTCAATCACTGAAAGGCTAAAAAGAGTAGCAGCTGAATTTGATTTAGCTTCAGGACTCCCAGTCTCAAGTACATGAATAAGAGGCTTAATTGCATTGGCATTACCAATAAGTGTTTTGTTGTTATCATTAATTGATAAGTTTAGAAGCGCTGTGACAGCATTTTCTTGAGTCATTGTGTCAGATGAGTGAAGCAACTCAACTAACAAGCTAATGGCCCCCGAGTTTGCAATTACAATACGATTATCCATATTGTGCTTGGCAAGTAACCTGAGTTCAGATGTTGCCTGTCTTTGAGTATCAACTGAAGAGCTGCTCAAGTCCTCCACCAACTTACGGACCTGGGTTTCAATGGCAGAAAGATCAGGTCTTGATTCAATAGCAGGAGTGGAAACTATCCTTGGGATGTGTCTATCTGATGGCCGACGCCTTATTGTTTGGCTACGAGATCGTGGTGGGAACTCAGGGTCTCTCTGTACGATGGTTGAGCTAGCTGCAGCATGTGGCTCAGCCCTCACATCTCCAGAACCATCACTGCCGTAGGTTGTGAGATGATTTGATCCAACAGCAGTCTCATTGGCATCTTCATTTGCTCCTCGGGGAGAATCTGAATTAGAAGGCATACTGGAGGCTGAAGCAGATCTAGTATGGTTCTGAGATGATTGTCCAGCATTGGACAATTCTCTTCTAGATGGAGATACAGATGGTTGGGAGCCTGAATCTCTATCCCTCTGCTCAGTGCTTGATCTGTCTTCAGCATTATTTACTGATATCCTTGCAATATCCAGACCTAGCCCATTTCCAGTAACACCAGACATAGAACCATTTGAAGTTGAAGTGAAATGTGGTGGGGATGTTCCCTCTTGATGAATTCCATTCAATACAGTTATGTTTTTACCCAATGAACATGTAGGTCTGGAGTCAGATGACATTGTTTGGGCCCTGGATTGAGGAGAACTATGTGAATCCCTTTGCACACCAGAATCTCCATGCACAAGAAGGGGAGAAGGTGGGTTTAAACTCAGAGTCTTCATGGGATCAGGCAACCTCACATTGTTTGATTCACACCAGTTTGCTATCAGTGCCTTTACAGTGTAATTAGGAATCAGATTGGTATGTCCCAAAGTCTGCCGTGTCTTTGGGCATACAGTGAGCCCAAGATCAATCCATTTCTTGATGAAAGCCTTCTCATAGGTTTGTCCCGATGCCACAATCACTGGATCAGTCATCAGCTCCAGGGAAAGGGGGCAGCAAAAATCAGCAGGTATGGGGACAGGACTACAGGTCTGCGACTGTTTAATTGAAACAAGACGTTCATGCATGCGAGTTACAATAGCAATCATTTGATCAATAAACTCAACTTCTTCAGTCTTGTCAGATTGTTCAGCATTTTCCTTTAACTTTTCAAGGGCAACAGCCTCAATGAGAATCTCCTGGTTTGACCTCAACGTCAGGCTGTCTGCAATTTTAACTAGCATCTCTGCATTGCGCCAAACACCATCCTCTCGATCCTTTATAGCTTCCTTAATAACAGATGTTGTCTGTTCATATCCCACATGCTTAAGTTTCTGTAAGCAGTGCTGCAATTAAAATGACAGCTGTTAGAGACCATAAAATGGACCTTATTCATTATCCATTCAACTAAGATAAGTATTTAAGGCGAGCATTATTTTTTTTATCTCATCTTAGAATTTCATGAATTGGATGCCCACCCATGCTTCAATAAGTTTCCAACCAATTAACTCTGTGGTAAAGCAATGCTCTTTAATCTAAAAAAAATAACCTTTTGAATGACTACTAAGAGAAGTTGACAACATGCTCCATTCATAACAAATGACAACTTGACAAGCCTTCAGGCTTCAATGTGTTTCTACAATAGTTACCTCAAGAGATGATGAACTCAATTCATCAGGCAGATGCTGATGAGAAGACTTCAGAAATTGGAAAATGTCCGCACCAGAATTCCGAATCTTGAATATCAATGATTCAATTTGCAGAACCTAAAAATCAAATGGAAGAGAAGACGGTTATCAAAGCGGATTGTTTAAAAATGCTCTACACATGACTTGATTACTAGCAAAGAATATCCTAATTTTTTCAGAGTGGCACTAGACATCAAACCCTTTTCCTTTGAATATGATCGAGCAATTAAGAACTTGAGGCAGTAAATTTCATAAAGTTATGCATTTGTTTAATTACTTTAATCATTGTCATCACACTATCAGTAACCATCGGATTCCGCAATCTAAAGGGTCAGCTTCAATTCTTTTCTTGTTTTTTAGTAATACTCACGAGTAAAAACTAAAGCTTCCATGTTAAATTTGAAAACATGCAACTGATTATATGGCTGTTAGCTTACAAAGTAAACTTTACTGAGCAGCGGTTGCCAGTTTTCAAAGAGCTCTCTCAATTCCCCTACAGATTGGTCCAATTCTCCAAATGTCTTGCCAAGCACTTCATTGGTAGCAACTTCAGAAGCACTAATTGCATCAAGAATTGGCTTCAACAACTTCAGTATCTCTTCTGACCTCTGGTAATACTTCTGCACCAGGTCTGAGTTTATGTTGTCAAGAGATGAAATACTTAGAAATGAGGAAATATTACTAAGAAGCGCTTTTAACAAAGATATCTCCATTTGACCTGTCTCAACAAAAAAATCGTAGAAAAGCAAAATGAGAATTAGAAACAGAAACATTAAAAAAAAAAAAAAGAAAAAAGAAATGAAGGATAAACCACCACAAACAGCATGGAAACACACAATGACAGTCAGAACAGCATTGTGAACCATTGGCACCACCAAATCAGCCAAGCCCGAACTGAGCATGAATGGCAGATGACAAAATCATTATAATTCAGTGAGGAACCTTAGAATGAATACGATTATGATTTGCACACAAAATTCTATATATAACACAAACTTCAAACCAATTATCAGTTTTCACTGCCTCCGATGCTCCACAGTTCAAACTGGTAGGCTTGTTGCTTTAGAGAGTAGTATATTTTGCCCAATATTGTCATTTTTAGTCAGTTATATAGTCCACCACAACAAAAGGCAACCACATTAATCTAATATTCTA